TTGAGGCAGCAGCTGGCTTGTACGTCCAGCCCGAGGTGATACGCGCTCGCTGCAGCTCCTGGCACTGCAACCACTGCCCCCCGTCTCCTCATCTCGAGCTGCTGACTCCGCACGTGATTCCAGCACGTCGATACAGGAAAGACCACAGACCTCGCTTGCGCGGTTTTGCCAGCAGGCGTTGCAGAGCGCTTCCACACTGCTGCATTGCGCACTCTGCTAGTGCAGTCGCCGCCCCTTCCTGCATGTGCTTCTCAAACTGGCTCAGCAGGTTGAACTCTGCAGGCAAGCGTGATTGGCTCACCTCGGGGCCGGAGGAGACCAGCAACATCCACCATGGCGCACAAAGCTCCCAAACCCAAGCGCCCTGCCAGCAGAGGCGCTCCGGCGCGTGAATGAAGGGGAGCCCACCTCGTCCGAAATCCCAAAGCCCCGGCACCGTGGCCTTATCTTCAGAGCCCACCCTCCCGTGAAAGCATCTCAAAAAGAGGTCAGAGGTCTTCTGCTCCAAAGCCTGATGCCATCCTGAGCCTAAACTGACCACCAGACTTCGACGCTCTCGCGTTTTTGGCATTGCGGCCTGCTCGCCTCCGATTTAAAGCCGTCCATGTGCACGAGGGTAGCCTGTCTGCATTTGAAGTCCAAGGCTCCGTAAGAAAGTTGAGGTTTGGCAACGCATGCTAATGCGTCCTTCTGTACCAATGGCAGCAGCCTTAAGGATGGAGCATCCCAGCATTGCAAGGCTCTAGGGCTCTGGTCAGCAGAATGGTGGTTGCTGACAGTGGGAACCTGAGTCTAAGACGTAAACATACTTGCCACCAGATTGCGATAAAACGAATCTCCGACTTCGCAAATGGCGCAGTGCGCAGTGCTGCCTTCTCAAGCTATCTTTTTCTTCGCTGTTGTCAGCAGCCCCTTCGATAATCACCCCATAAAAGCGGCTGTACAACGTCTGGCTCTTGTGGCACTGTCGGGGACCACCCACTCCATGAATGACCACGAAAGCGGGCTCTTCCCCTCCCGGCTCAGGCTGCATAAAGCGCCTTCGCCTTGGCATACAGGGCTTTGCCCTGGGCACTCTTGCCACCCACTGCGCAGAAGCCTTTGATTCCCAGCTCCTTCCGGGCCGCCATCACGGCGTCGAGCCACTGCTGCACGAACTTCTGGATCGTCTTGCCTCTGGCGTGCATCTTCTTGCTGACAACCTTGCCTCGCTTGTTCTTCATCAACTGAGACTTCGCGAGGCCACCGGTGGTCTTCTCCTTGCTTCCACGGAAGACGACGGACTTCGCGCGCTTGCCCGTTGCGATCTTGGACACGGCCTTCTTCTTCATGACCTTCATTGCCTTCGCCTTCATGCTAGTCTTGGCCTTCATAGCACTGGACTTCATCACCTTCATCGCATTCTTCATAGGCAGGGCCATGACTTCGAAGTGAAAGCAGAGCTGAATCACAAGGCCGGGCTTGAACCAGACAGGCTGATAAGGCATACACACATTGCGGCCAGATAGCACTAACTCAAATCTCAGACTTAACACTGAAGCAGTTTGTAGTGCTGAATATTGATGCGATGCGATCTTTTAATTCGCTGTTGTCAGCAGCCCCTTAGATAAGCACCCCATAAAAGCGGCTGTACAACATCTGGCTCTTGTGGCACTGTCGGGGACCGCCCGCTCCATGAATGACCACGAAAGCGGGCTCTTCCCCTCCCGGCTCAGGCTGCATAAAGCGCCTTCGCCTTGGCATACAGGGCTTTGCCCTGGGCACTCTTGCCACCCACGGCGCAGAAGCCTTTGATTCCCAGCTCCTTTCGGGCCGTCATCACGGCGTCGAGCCACTGCTGCACGAACTTCTGGATCGTCTTGCCCCTGGCGTGCATCTTCTTGCTGACAACCTTGCCTCGCTTGTTCTTCATCAACTGAAACTTCGCGAGACCACCGGTGGTTTTCTCCTTGCTTCCACGGAAGACGACGGACTTCGCGCGCTTGCCCGTTGCGATCTTGGACACGGCCTTCTTCTTCATGACCCTCATTGCCTTAGCCTTCATGCTAGTCTTGGCCTTCATAGCACTGGACTTCATCACCTTCATCGCATTCTTCATAGGCAGGGCCATGACTTCGAAGTGAAGGCAGAGCTGAATCACAAGGCCGGGCTTGAACCAGACAGGCTGATAAGGCATACACACATTGCGGCCAGATAGCACTAACTCAAATCTCAGACTTAACACTGAAGCAGTTTGTAGTGCTGAATATTGATGCGATCTTTTGGTTCGCTGTTGTCAGCAGCCCCTTAGATAAGCACCCCATAAAAGCGGCTGTACAACGTCTGGCTCTTGTGGCACTGTCGGGGACCGCCCACTCCATGAATGACCACGAAAGCGGGCTCTTCCCCTCCCGGCTCAGGCTGCATAAAGCGCCTTTGCCTTGGCATACAGGGCTTTGCCCTGGGCACTCTTGCCACCCACTGCGCAGAAGCCTTTGATTCCCAGTGCTGCACGAACTTCTGGATCGTCTTGCCCCTGGCGTGCATCTTCTTGCTGACAACCTTGCCTCGCTTGTTCTTCATCAACTGAGACTTCGCGAGGCCACCGGTGGTCTTCTCCTTGCTTCCACGGAAGACGACGGACTTCGCGCGCTTGCCCGTTGCGATCTTGGACACGGCCTTCTTCTTCATGACCTTCATTGCCTTAGCCTTCATGCTAGTCTTGGCCTTCATAGCACTGGACTTCATCACCTTCATCGCATTCTTCATAGGCAGGGCCATGACTTCGAAGTGAAAGAAGAGCTGAATCACAAGGCGGGCTTGAACCAGACAGGCTGATAAGGCGCTCACACATTGCGGCCAGGTACCACTAACTCGAATCTCTGACTTAACAATGAAGCAGTTTGTAGTGCTGAATATTGATGCGATCTTTCTTTCGCTGTTGCCAGCAGCCCCTTAGATAAGCACCCCATAAAAGCGGCTGTACAACGTCTGGCTCTTGTGGCACTGTCGGGGACCGCCCACTCCATGAATGACCACGAAAGCGGGCTCTTCCCCTCCCGGCTCAGGCTGCATAAAGCGCCTTCGCCTTGGCATACAGGGCTTTGCCCTGGGCACTCTTGCCACCCACGGCGCAGAAGCCTTTGATTCCCAGCTCCTTTCGGGCCGTCATCACGGCATCGAGCCACTGCTGCACGAACTTCTGGATCGTCTTGCCCCTGGCGTGCATCTTCTTGCTGACAACCTTGCCTCGCTTGTTCTTCATCAACTGAGACTTCGCGAGGCCACCGGTGGTCTTCTCCTTGCTTCCACGGAAGACGACGGACTTCGCGCGCTTGCCCGTTGCGATCTTGGACACGGCCTTCTTCTTCATGACCTTCATTGCCTTCGCCTTCATGCTAGTCTTGGCCTTCATAGCACTGGACTTCATCACCTTCATCGCATTCTTCATAGGCAGGGCCATGACTTCGAAGTGAAAGAAGAGCTGAATCACAAGGCGGGCTTGAACCAGACAGGCTGATAAGGCGCTCACACATTGCGGCCAGGTACCACTAACTCGAATCTCTGACTTAACAATGAAGCAGTTTGTAGTGCTGAATATTGATGCGATCTTTTTATTCGCTGTTGTCAGCAGCCCCTTAGATAAGCACCCCGTAAAAGCGGCTGTACAACGTCTGGCTCTTGTGGCACTGTCGGGGACCGCCCACTCCATGAATGACCACGAAAGCGGGCTCTTCCCCTCCCGGCTCAGGCTGCATAAAGCGCCTTCGCCTTGGCATACAGGGCTTTGCCCTGGGCACTCTTGCCACCCACTGCGCAGAAGCCTTTGATTCCCAGCTCCTTCCGGGCCGTCATCACGGCGTCGAGCCACTGCTGCACGAACTTCTGGATCGTCTTGCCTCTGGCGTGCATCTTCTTGCTGACAACCTTGCCTCGCTTGTTCTTCATCAACTGAGACTTCGCGAGGCCACCGGTGGTCTTCTCCTTGCTTCCACGGAAGACGACGGACTTCGCGCGCTTGCCCGTTGCGATCTTGGACACGGCCTTCTTCTTCATGACCTTCATTGCCTTAGCCTTCATGCTAGTCTTGGCCTTCATAGCACTGGACTTCATCACCTTCATCGCATTCTTCATAGGCAGGGCCATGACTTCGAAGTGAAAGAAGAGCTGAATCACAAGGCGGGCTTGAACCAGACAGGCTGATAAGGCGCTCACACATTGCGGCCAGGTACCACTAACTCGAATCTCTGACTTAACAATGAAGCAGTTTGTAGTGCTGAATATTGATGCGATCTTTTTATTCGCTGTTGTCAGCAGCCCCTTAGATAAGCACCCCATAAAAGCGGCTGTACAACGTCTGGCTCTTGTGGCACTGTCGGGGACCGCCCACTCCATGAATGACCACGAAAGCGGGCTCTTCCCCTCCCGGCTCAGGCTGCATAAAGCGCCTTCGCCTTGGCATACAGGGCTTTGCCCTGGGCACTCTTGCCACCCACTGCGCAGAAGCCTTTGATTCCCAGCTCCTTCCGGGCCGTCATCACGGCGTCGAGCCACTGCTGCACGAACTTCTGGATCGTCTTGCCTCTGGCGTGCATCTTCTTGCTGACAACCTTGCCTCGCTTGTTCTTCATCAACTGAGACTTCGCGAGGCCACCGGTGGTCTTCTCCTTGCTTCCACGGAAGACGACGGACTTCGCGCGCTTGCCCGTTGCGATCTTGGACACGGCCTTCTTCTTCATGACCTTCATTGCCTTCGCCTTCATGCTAGTCTTGGCCTTCATAGCACTGGACTTCATCACCTTCATCGCATTCTTCATAGGCAGGGCCATGACTTCGAAGTGAAAGAAGAGCTGAATCACAAGGCGGGCTTGAACCAGACAGGCTGATAAGGCGCTCACACATTGCGGCCAGGTACCACTAACTCGAATCTCTGACTTAACAATGAAGCAGTTTGTAGTGCTGAATATTGATGCGATCTTTTTATTCGCTGTTGTCAGCAGCCCCTTAGATAAGCACCCCATAAAAGCGGCTGTACAACGTCTGGCTCTTGGCACTGTCGGGGACCGCCCACTCCATGAATGACCACGAAAGCGGGCTCTTCCCCTCCCGGCTCAGGCTGCATAAAGCGCCTTCGCCTTGGCATACAGGGCTTTGCCCTGGGCACTCTTGCCACCCACCGCGCAGAAGCCTTTGATTCCCAGCTCCTTCCGGGCCGTCATCACGGCGTCGAGCCACTGCTGCACGAACTTCTGGATCGTCTTGCCTCTGGCGTGCATCTTCTTGCTGACAACCTTGCCTCGCTTGTTCTTCATCAACTGAGACTTCGCGAGGCCACCGGTGGTCTTCTCCTTGCTTCCACGGAAGACGACGGACTTCGCGCGCTTGCCCGTTGCGATCTTGGACACGGCCTTCTTCTTCATGACCTTCATTGCCTTCGCCTTCATGCTAGTCTTGGCCTTCATAGCACTGGACTTCATCACCTTCATCGCATTCTTCATAGGCAGGGCCATGACTTCGAAGTGAAGGCAGAGCTAAATCACAAGGCGGGCTTGAACCAGACAGGCTGATAAGGCATACACACTTTGCGGCCAGATAGCACTAACATGAATCTCTACTTGGCACTGAAGCAGTTTGTAGTGCTGAATATTGATGCGATCTTTTTATTCGCTGTTGTCAGCAGCCCCTTAGATAAGCACCCCATAAAAGCGGCTGTACAACATCTGGCTCTTGTGGCACTGTCGGGGACCGCCCGCTCCATGAATGACCACGAAAGCGGGCTCTTCCCCTCCCGGCTCAGGCTGCATAAAGAGCCTTCGCCTTGGCATACAGGGCTTTGCCCTGGGCACTCTTGCCACCCACTGCGCAGAAGCCTTTGATTCCCAGCTCCTTCCGGGCCGTCATCACGGCGTCGAGCCACTGCTGCACGAACTTCTGGATCGTCTTGCCCCTGGCGTGCATCTTCTTGCTGACAACCTTGCCTCGCTTGTTCTTCATCAACTGAGACTTCGCGAGGCCACCGGTGGTCTTCTCCTTGCTTCCGCGGAAGACGACGGACTTCGCGCGCTTGCCCGTTGCGATCTTGGACACGGCCTTCTTCTTCATGACCTTCATTGCCTTCGCCTTCATGCTAGTCTTGGCCTTCATAGCACTGGACTTCATCACCTTCATCGCGTTCTTCATAGGCAGGGCCATGACTTCGAAGTGAAAGCAGAGCTGAATCAAACGGCCGGGCTTGAACCAGACAGGCTGATAAGGCATACACGCATTGCAGCCAGATAGCACTAACTCGAATCTCTGACTTAACAATGAAGCAGTTTGTAGTGCTGAATATTGATGCGATCTTTTTATTCGCTGTTGTCAGCAGCCCCTTAGATAAGCACCCCATAAAAGCGGCTGTACAACGTCTGGCTCTTGTGGCAGTCGGGGACCGCCCGCTCCATGAATGACCACGAAAGCGGGCTCTTCCCCTCCCGGCTCAGGCTGCATAAAGCGCCTTTGCCTTGGCATACAGGGCTTTGCCCTGGGCACTCTTGCCACCCACTGCGCAGAAGCCTTTGATTCCCAGCTCCTTCCGGGCCGTCATCACGGCGTCCAGCCACTGCTGCACGAACTTCTGGATCGTCTTGCCCCTGGCGTGCATCTTCTTGCTGACAACCTTGCCTCGCTTGTTCTTCATCAACTGAGACTTCGCGAGGCCACCGGTGGTCTTCTCCTTGCTTCCACGGAAGACGACGGACTTCGCGCGCTTGCCCGTTGCGATCTTGGACACGGCCTTCTTCTTCATGACCTTCATTGCCTTCGCCTTCATGCTAGTCTTGGCCTTCATAGCACTGGACTTCATCACCTTCATCGCGTTCTTCATAGGCAGGGCCATGACTTCGAAGTGAAAGCAGAGCTGAATCAAACGGCCGGGCTTGAACCAGACAGGCTGATAAGGCATACACGCATTGCAGCCAGATAGCACTAACTCGAATCTCTGACTTAACAATGAAGCAGTTTGTAGTGCTGAATATTGATGCGATCTTTTTATTCGCTGTTGTCAGCAGCCCCTTAGATAAGCACCCCATAAAAGCGGCTGTACAACGTCTGGCTCTTGTGGCAGTCGGGGACCGCCCGCTCCATGAATGACCACGAAAGCGGGCTCTTCCCCTCCCGGCTCAGGCTGCATAAAGCGCCTTTGCCTTGGCATACAGGGCTTTGCCCTGGGCACTCTTGCCACCCACTGCGCAGAAGCCTTTGATTCCCAGCTCCTTCCGGGCCGTCATCACGGCATCGAGCCACTGCTGCACGAACTTCTGGATCGTCTTGCCTCTGGCGTGCATCTTCTTGCTGACAACCTTGCCTCGCTTGTTCTTCATCAACTGAGACTTCGCGAGGCCACCGGTGGTCTTCTCCTTGCTTCCACGGAAGACGACGGACTTCGCGCGCTTGCCCGTTGCGATCTTGGACACGGCCTTCTTCTTCATGACCTTCATGGCCTTCGCCTTCATGCTAGTCTTGGCCTTCATAGCACTGGACTTCATCACCTTCATCGCGTTCTTCATAGGCAGGGCCATGACAGCGAAGTGAGAGAAGAGCTGAATCACAAGGCGGGCTTGATCGAACCAGACGGGCTACTGGGACCCTGATAGACATACATATATATATATATATATGACAAACAGAATGGAATGGAATGGAATAGGATAGAACAGAAGAGAGTGGAATGGATTGGAATGGAGTAGAACAGAATAGAATAGAACAAAACAGAATCGAAAATCACGTTGTACTGCTGTCCTCTACCATCTTCCACCTTCTCTATTATATGATACTATACTACATCATCTTATGTAAAGTATACATCAGCAACCCCACTCGGAGCCAATCTCCGCCTCTTTGGGCTCCAGGAAAATGGCCGCTTTTGGGCGCGTCCCGCACACGAACTCCACGTAGCCGTCAGGGTCCTACGGGTAGGTTTAGGCTTCAGGGGAACGTTCAGGGTTTACAGGGTTTAGGAATGATTTGTGGAGTTGGGGGTTCCCGATTTTGCTCTTCTGCCGAGGATCCGTGGCCCAGACACCTTCAAGGAGGGGTGCATCGAGAGCCGGCAGCTTCAGACTAGAGGACCCAGTTAGAAGAAGAAGTCCTCGCTGTTCCCTTTCAGAACGACCAAAGACCTTAGCTCTGCTTCACGGGGCTTGCAAAAGGGCGACCGCAGAGACGATCACAGCATCAGGCTCCGGCTCACGGGGAGGGCATGAGTTCGTCTCCATCTCTTTCTGCCATGCCTGCTGCTTGGGGTTTCCTGTGAAGCTCCTTTCCTTCCGGAGCCTGCACTTGAACTTCATTGCTGAACCTGATAACGTTTCCAAACCCTCAACCTTGAACCCTCAACTCGAAACGAAAGAGCAAACAGAACCTGAAAAACTCAGCTCCAAACCTGGCCTCGAGCTCTTTCCGCGCCTTCTTCGCGGCCCTGGGGACGCGCTTGTTGGGCTTCAGGCTGGAGCTTTCGGCTTTTGGAGTTTGCTGCTTTTTTGGCTAGTCGTGTTGAGCTTTGCGGCTTCTGGGTTTTGGCTGAGGCTCTGTTACTTACTGCTGTTTGGGTTTCGAGTCTGGGGGTCCGAGCTTTAGGAGGGTATCGTTGAGGCGACGATTCCGACAGTGACGACGGGGATGACGGCAACGGACAGCGACCGGCCGTGGCGGTGGTGGAGGCAACGGCGATGACAGCGTCGGCGACGCCAAATGACACTAAGCTGACAGCCCAGGCGCTTGCCCGTATTGGCCTCCACTTGCGCCGGCACACTGCCGTACCCGCCTGCGCAGCTGTGAATGCTAATGATAATGATACACCACCACTACCAAAACCTGATACTACTTTTCTTCTGCTGCTACTGCTACTACTACTACTAGTACTACGACTACTACTGCCAGTACACTTCTACTTCGACGACGACGTACAGTACCCACTCCACTCCTACTCCTGCTCCTACTCGCACTCCGACTCCTGTTCCGACTCTTACCCTAATGCTGCTGCTACTGCTCGACGATGGCCGTCCTGTGATGGTTCAATGATTGCAATGGTCACTCCAATATACTCACTATAACATCAGAGCTTAGGCTTGTACGGATGTGTGACTCGTCCCCACTCAACCTGAGATCTGGTCATTCTATGAGAACACATTTCCGTCAAGCTCAACTGCGCAGTCTACGGTCTCACAATTTGACTGGGGGGGGCATTATGGGGGGGTCTTAGCTGTCACATCTCAACTAAAGCAACCAGCAGTCTGATGCATCCCCGGACCCGGCCAAAGACCCGCGGAATCAGCAAGGAAAGGCCTATGAAAAGGTTGTCGGAAAACGCCGTGGCTAAGAGAGCCTGCTCGGTTTTCTGGCTGACGCAGCGCAGGGAAAGGGCATGCAGAAGAGGTCTTTCATGTACTCACCGCATCTGCCCGCTGTGATTCATGCTCAATGACGGCAGACATGAAACCGTCGCAACCCACAGCGGGTCATCAACGTTCCAGTCCGCCTTCAGAAACCGTGCATCGGTTTCAAAGGCCTTGGTGAGCCAGGAAGCACCCACTCTACGAAGCATCTGGACATCTGCAGAAGCCAAACCAGAACTCAAGGACACCGCGCCTCCTCGTGTCGAAACGCCTTCCAATCCTGTGACCAAGAGGAGCAAGATTTGAAGGACTTAGGAAAGACATACCGGGGCTGGAGTTTTGGATGTCTTGGAAACTTCAGGCCACTACGATCCGAGTCTGCAGCCGGAGACCGAAGCCCCAAACCCTGAACCCGACCCCACCTTCCATTCGATGCCGGCCAGGTCACCCTTCTTGTTAACTACATAGCCGAGACCCCGCAGCAGCCTGGCGGAAAGGGTTCGGGCTTCTGGAATTCGCGAAGCGGGGGCCGCACGGAGCATCGCTTTCAAAGCACAAGGGGCTTGTCGGTGGGGTGGCAACTAGAACTCAACATCAACTTTGGTAGCAAAACGTCGACTCCTGAGAGGAGGCGGAAGCGGGGGATGCTG